GGGAAGAGAGAAGTGTAAGATACAAAGGAGAGCAAATCAGATTAAGCTAGGATCTCTCAGCAGAAACCATCTGAGCAAGAAGGCAATGGGGAGACATATATAAAAGCTTGAAAGAAAAAAACTGCCACCCAAGAATCCTCTACCTAGCAAAGCTGTCAATCAAATATGATGGTGTAATCAAAACATTCCATGAGAAACAGAAGTTAGGGATTTTGCCAAAGCCAACCCTGCTATGAAAAACATCCTAAAGGAAGTTCTGTGGACTGAGAACCAATTAGAACAGACAACAATTAGAAAATGATGTACATGGCAGCATCATCCTGAACTCAATCAACAAATGGAAGAGTCAAGAACAGAATAAAATTCTAAGAACAGAGGATCTGGGAGGTCAGTCTATGACCAAAACAATTAACAAATGTGAAGGAAGGTAAACACAGAGGAACAGAGATCCAGCTGGTGGGAAGGTCAGGTAGATTACAGGATAAAATTACAGGACTGTCTTAAATGGAGGGAAGAGTTAATGGAATATAAGGTAAGCACAACAGTAGGGTTGGGGTGGGAGGTTTAGTTCAGGTGTTGGGGAGGGCAATACAAGAGGGGGAGGAGGTGGAAAAACAAGATAGATAGGGGAACACAGAGACAGGTTTGCATGGCCTAAGTGGGACAGTGGTAAATAGTGATGCATGCTCAACCTTGGAACAACAGGGTTATGTGATACACGGATCTAGGCATAGCTTGAAGAGGGGAAATAATACTAAAATGCTTGACTGTTTGTTTAAATATTGGTTTCCCTTTCTACTATTGTAAAATAGACACTTGAGTGGGATAGAAAGGAATATTGGGAAACATGATTACAGAAAACTTGTAATCCCATCTTCAGCCTATAACTGATTGGAATACCTAAAAGATGTTTTAGAACTTGCCCAGTGAAATAGGCCTCTTGCAAAGTGTTTACAGAGTATAAGACCTTAGATGGAATCCTGAGCCCCATCCAGAACCTTCTGAGATGGGACATTCCCACTAGCAAGTACAAGCAGACCAGCTTGGAACAGCTAGAGCAACAGAAGATACATTCTTCAAAGAAAGATCATCAGGAAAACCCCAAACAAAAATGGCAGCATGACTGGCTACTACAAGAATAAGCAAGCTGTTCACCAGGAAGCCATCAAGTCAAGCAATCAAGTTCCTTCAGGATAAACTCCCATCTAAGACTAAAACTCAATGGGAACACATGAACAGGCATGTAAGCTTGCTGGCGACCACATTGGTCTACTGGTGAGTGGAAGAGGGGGAAAGACAGCAATGAAGAAATGGGCTGAGTTCAACCACAGTCCATTGACTCCTGTTGACCTGGAGATGAGAGAGAGAAGAGGAAGGGCTGGTTGGTCCAAAGTGTGGTGAGACCTGAGGACACTTGAGCTCATGAACAAGGACATAGCCACAGAAGGCTAGAGCTGAGAGTGAAGCATCCAGCTGATATGAAGTGAGGGGAGATGCACAAGAACACCCAAACTTGCAGACAGTACTCATTTGACCTAGCCTCGATGGCTTGATAATCAGAACTTGACTAGAGGAAGAATGCAACCAAAAAAATAAATAAATAATTTTTTTTTTAATTTTTTATAAAGGAAACAAGGGTAAATTTCTACAATTTGATGAACCTTACCTATACTCAGGAAGGTAGTAACTCAATACCAACAGAGAGGGAAGGAGTCTTCATATCAAGTACGAATTGTATCTTCTCTATACACAGGGTAGATAGGGATAGGCAACTTAGACATTGGTTACCTAAAATGAGGGGGTGATAAAGCCATGAAATGACTGGCTTACAAGGTTTCAAGAGGGAGTTTAGTTTAAGAGTGTGTGGGGGAAGAAAGAGCTGCCACTGAATAGTTTTTACCTTGTGTAAATGGGTCTGGTGAAGAGATGGGTATAAGATTCATATGATTCAACAGTGAATAATTGTTATTGTTACTAATTGCAACTGTCACAATTGTAAAGGTAGAAGTTTTGGAACAAACTCAGGGGAGTGGTTAACCTTACAGTCCAGAAACAGAGGACCCTAGGACCATCAAGGGAGTAAGTAGGACACAAGCAGAATGCAGGCCCTTATCCAGAGAAACAGGGACACCAGAGTTGGAGGGACAGAGATGAGGGCCTGAAGAGGGTGAGCAGCTGAGGACTCTAGACTCATGGGAAGAGAGAGACTAAGAGCTGGTGGCCAGGAGGCAGACTTGCAGAATGTGCACTTGGAGGTGTAAATTATTATATATACCAGAGTGGTTTTTTTTTTTGTTTTGTTTTTTTAAAGCTAAAGTGAATAGAGAGAAATACTGTTACCTGATGGTACATAGAAGGGATTATAATCATTGTAATGAAACAAGGTGTATGCTTTGTTGAATGTAAAACTGATGATCTGTCCTTTAAACTTTCACTCAATCCACAATAAAAATAAAAAATAGAATAGTCCAAAAAAATGAATAAAAGATTTACAAACTTGGAAGCCTTATAGGGGCAGTTCTATTTTGTCCTAAGAGTGACTATGGGTCAAAATTGACTGGACAGTAAGGGATTTGGCGCTTGGTTTCTCTGCTCCCCAATTATTTCAGAATCTACTTTCAGGAAGTTGCAATGGCAAATTTTTTCAGTCTCTCTTTGAAAATTATGTAAATCAAGGATATTTTCTTAATGACCTATGAATCACATCTTTTGAAATATAATAACTAAGGAAGATTAAAAGCAATAGTAATCATCAAGGAAGATCACACCTCCACCTGGCAGTGTCCTGGGAAATGAGCATAATTTCAAGTATCTGGTCATAAAGATATTAGAAAATAAGCCATTTTCGTCTTGAAATATGAATGTAATGGGTTGTGTCCACTTAGTTATTATAGGGGTCAGATTTCTTTCTGTTTTTGTAATCTCTTTAGCACATAGCCTGTGAGGTATCATATTGTAATTTGTAGTTGTTGTTAAGTGCCGTTGAGTCAGTTCTGACTCAGCAACCGCCGACCTTGCGGTTCAAAGCACCCTTGCAGTCTAGTGCTTATCCTATACCTCCATACCAGGACTTCATATTGTGGTTTAATGGTTACTTATTAATAAAACTCTTCTTTCTAGTCGCCTTTGTGGCGAGGTTTCCTAGGCAGGGAGGGAGATTCTGTTTTTAATAACTTTTCTCTACCAAATGCCAATGAAAACAAAAGAATTAAGTAGCACTTACCAGCTCCTTGTGGTCTTTACTTTTGTTTCTGCTGTAGGAATATGGAAACAATATCATTTGGGAGTATGAATGCATAGTTATGTATGCCTTAATGTGGTTTCTATTTTTTCTCAAGAAATCAGCTACGGCCTTCACTTCTGGTTCTGACTCAGGGTAGGGTCCACAGTAGGCTTCAGAACACGAAAAACTTGACGCACCTGCCTCTGTGGTGAAATTGATAAAACAGAATTATGAGGTGGCACATCAATTACATGTGATTGACGAGTCTCCTGGCACGTATTCTCCCAAAGTCCTCACAATTGGACCAGCAAATAGCATCATGATAAAGGGAGAAAAGATGAAGTTCTTAAGGATTTAATTTTATTTGGACTCACAATAATTTTCATGGAAGCAGCAGTCAAAAAATCAAACAACGTATTGCACCTGGCAAATCTGCTGCAAAAGACGTCTCTAAAATGTTAAAGAGCAAAGATGTCTCTTTAAGGACTAAGGTGCATCTGCCCCAAGCCATAGTATTTTCAGTCACCCCATATGCATGAAAAAGCTCGACAGTGAATAAGGACAACCAAAGAATAATCAAGGCATTTGAATTATGATGTTGGGAAACAATATTGAAGGTACCATGGACTGTCAGAAGAACAAACAAATCTATTTTGGAAGAAGGACAGCCAGATTGTTCCTTGGAAATGATGATGGCAAGACTTTGTCTCATGTACTTTGGACATGTTTTCAGGAGGGATCAGTCCTTGGAAAAGGACATCATGCTTGGGAACGTGGAGAGTATCGAAAAGGAGGACGATCTTCAGTGAAGATCCTACAACATCACACACAGCAATGGTTGGGAAGATGGCACAGAACCAGGCAGTGTTTGTTTTGTTCTGTTGTGCACAGGGTCCCTGTAAATCAGCATTGACTCAACAGCCTCAGAACACAACCACAATGTCTATGAGGTGACATTTTTAGATAAATGGATTAGGTGAAGTTCTGTACATGAGTATAGCATTTCTAGTATCCATTATGTGTTGTTTCTACACCCACATAGCAGAGGTTCCAACAGACAATCTCTACCCATCTCCCTTGCTGCCTAGGGGCAGGCATATACTACATGTCAGAAACACTGCTAAATGATTTAGGAGACATATCCCATTGAATGCTTACGACTTCCCTATGAAATAAGCACTGTTGTTGTTTTAGAAGAAGGGTGAGGAATGTCTGGTCCGCAGGCCGTATGCTATTGTTGTTATTAAGTGCCGTCCAGCGACCTTGTATAGGGCTTCTGAGGAGCAGCAGATGAGCTTGAACTCCTGACCTTGCAGTTCAAACTGATTTTGAAGTCCAGTGCATTAACCCACAGCACCACACTATTTGGTGTGTTCCCATCAAGGCAACCACAGTTCCAGCCCTCACATTATAGCAGGGTAATTTTTAAGTTGATAATTTTGTCTGGCTCATGAATGATGTTATACATATTCAAATGGCCTTGGCAGAAAAAAAGATTCCCTACCCCTGTTTTAGAAGATGCAAATGAAAAGCTGTTAATGGTAACCACCCTTCACAAGAAAAGGCCATATGCAATATTGTTAAGCACCCAAACTCCTGATTTTAATAATGACTTTGACATGTAATAGTTATATGGCTGTGGACAAATATTTATAAACCTATGTATACCTCAATTTCCTTGTCTGCATTAAATGAGGATTGAAGCATAGAATACATATATAAACTGCTATGCACACTAAGTAAGTTTTTAGTAACTTTGCTGCTGTTGTCATCATCTTCATCATCAATATGTAGACTAGAGTAAAGCCAGATTTCATCACAGAGATGAGAGTGGGAGGGAAAGGACTCATTGAGTTCCCCCGACAGGGTCCAAGCCCCATTCCCATCTCTTTCTTAGGCCACCTGCATCCTCAAACATGGGTTCCATGGCCTACTCCATTATCCTTACAAAGGATGTCATGACTAAGCTTGTTCTGCTTTTTTTCTATTATTTACAACTAAAAACTAATGCTTGTTAAACATTCTTTTCCCATCAAGTAATGTGCAGAAAATCCAAGGCTTTTCCAAGTATTTCGTTTGTTTTTACTTTTTAAACAGTAATGTGATTTGACAAAACATTTTTGGTATTTTGGTGACCTTTGGACACTCCTGCCCTTTTTCATGATCTATACAAATTCTTGAGAGTAGAGGTTGTAGATTGAGGAAGTGGTGAGTGAGAACTGAAAGGGGAGAGATGCTGCCTTACTATGGATCCTGAAACCAGTCTGCTCAATAGAAACATAATGCAGACCACATATGTATTTGAAATTCTCAAGTAGCCACTTCAAAAAGCAAAGTAGAAAACATTGGTTAAATTTATTTTACTAAGATAGCTTATTCAAACCAGTAAGTATAAAATACTATCATTTCAAATGTAATCAATATAAAAATTACTCATGAGATATTTTATGTTATAAATATTCAAACATGTGTATTTCACACTTGCACCATATATGGATTCAGACTAGTCTCATTTCAAGTGCTTACTAATGAGTTGTCGTTGGCGGCTACCTTCTATACTGGACTCATAGCCTCAGAAACTACTGATTTCAAGCATTTTAGTGGAAGGAGCCCTGGACTGTCAAGAAACTTGAATCTGAAAATCACGTTAATTTGGGCAGTCACTTCATCTCTCTGAGCCTCCTTTTGTGGTTCCTTTTCTAACTTGGGGTACCACATCCTTTAAAGCTCAAGCATTATTTAACCTGTAGTAATAGATTCAAGTATACTATGATCTCATAGATTGCCCTTGGTGGTGTAAATGGTTAAGAGTTCAGCAGCTAACTGAAAGCTTGGAGGTGCCTCAGAAGAACAACTTGGTGATCTATTTCTGAAAAATCAGCCTTTGAGAAAACAATGGAGCACAATTCTATTTTGGCACACATGGGTCACCATGAGTTGGAATGAATTCCACAGCAATTGGTAGTATGGTTTTATAAGAAAAAATATAAATGAATTTGACATCAATTGGTAGTACAGCGATTGGTCTTATAGGGAACGATATAAGTGATTTTCCAATGCATGATGGCTGCAAAAATGTTGTAACTGAAGTCAGTATTTTAGAAAATTAATGACACTGTCTTAAGCAGTTTGAGAGTAGAGGTATAATAAAATGTCCTCCTTTGCCCCAACACTCATTCCATCCCCAGCATACATATACACCACTGTTTTAATATAAGGGAAGGGTAAAATAAACATAAAAATTAACAAGTAAGGTTTAGGCAGATTTAAGTTATAGGCAGAAAAAGACCCAAGCAACACTTTTTCCCTGCTTTTACTCCTTCCTTTTGCCCCGTCCAAATGAGAACCTGATCAGAAGTTAAGAATACTGTTGTTGTTAAATGGTATCAAGTCAGGTCTGACTCTAGTTACCCTATATAGGGTTTCCGAGGAGCAGCTGGTGTGTTGGAACCGCTGACTTTGCAGTTAGCCGTCCAGGGCTGATCCTACAGCTAGCTCCTTAGCAACAAGTGAGGAGCAGGTTGGGTGCCCTACTGAAACAGTAACATGAAAAATCAAAGTGTCCACTGAAGTTGGAAACAGTACACACGAAACCATAACACTTATTATCTCAGTATTGTAATTTGTACCCACAATCTTACCTTGTGCCAGGTTCTCATATTTTTGATAATGAATTGTCCTTGCTTATTACCTGAAACTTTGCTGAAGCCCTAAAAACCACCCTTTAGCCCTCTATTTGTGGAGACAGTTGGTGTCAGAGATCCCTTGTCTCCTTGCACTTTCAAATTTGTCTGTTTCTCTTTTTCAGTGACTGGTCCCTCCTGACAATATGTCCGAAATAGGAGACACAAAGTCTGACCATCCTGGCCTCCAAGGAGCACTCTGGCTACACTTCTTCCAACAAAGATCTATTTGTCCTTTTGACAGTCCACATTACTTTCAATATTCTCCTCCAACACCATAACTCAAAGGCATCAACTTTTCTACAGCCTTCCTTATTCACTGTCCAATTTTTGCGTGCATATGAGGTTATTGAAAACCATGGGTTGGGTCAGGCGCACTTTAGTCCTCAAGCTGACATCTTTGATCTTTAACACTTTAAAAAGGCCTTGTGCAGCAGATTTGCCTAATGCAATATGTCGTTTGATTTCTTGACTGCTGCTTGCATGTGTGTTCATGGTTAATCCAAACAAAATTAAGTCTTAAAAACTCCTATCTTTTCTCCATTTGTTGTTGTTGTTAAGTGCCGTCAAGTTGATTCCAACCCATAGCGACCCTGTATAGGGTTTCCAAGGAGCAGCTGGTGAGCTTGAACCATCAACTTTGCAGTTCAAACAACTTTGCAGTCTGACACTTTTATATGGATGTTATTTATTGATCCATTGGTGAGGATTTTTGTTTTCTTTACATTGAGATGCAATCCATACTGAAGGCTGTGGGCTTTGATCTTCATCAGTAAGTATTTTAAATCCTCTTCACTTTCAGCAAGCAAGGTTTTATCATCTGCATATCACAGATTTTAATGAGTCTTCTTCCAATCCTGATGCCATGTTTTTCTTCATATAACCCAGCTTCTCGGATTATTTGCTCAGCATACAGGTTGAATAAATATGGCGAAAGAATATAGCCCTGGTGCACACTTTTCCTAAGTTTAAACCATTTGGTGTTCCTTTTGGTCTATGCCTCTTGTTCTATGTACAATTGCCTCTTGGTCTACGTACAGGTTCCTCATGAGCACAATTAAGTGTTCTGGAATACTCATACTTCACAGTGTTGTCCATAGCTTGTCGTGATCCACACAATCAAAACCCCTTGCATAGTCAATAAAGCACAGGTAAACATCTTTCTGGTATTCTCTGCTTTCAGCCAAGATCCATCTGATGTCAGCAATGATATCTCATTCCATGTCCTCTTTGGAAATCAGTTCGAACCTCTGGAAGTTCTATGTCAATGTATGGTTGTAACCATTTCTGTATTACTTTTAGTAAAACTTCACTTGCATGTGATATCAATGATATTGTCCGATGATTTCCACGTTCCATTGTGTCACCTCTCTTTGGAATGGGCACAGATGCAGTTCTCTTTCAGTTAGTTGGCGAGGTGGTTGCCTTCCAATTTCTTGGCATAGATGAGTGAGTGCTGCCAGTGCCACATTACTTTGTTGAAAGATTTCAATTTGTATTCCATCAATTCCTGGTGCCTTTATTTTGCCAATTCCTTCAGTGCACTTCTTCCTTCATGAGCTTTGGCTCTTGATCATATGGTACCTCTTAAAATGGTTGAACATTGATCATTTCAGTGACTATATTCCTTCCATGTTCTTTTGATGGTTTCTGCATCATACACTATTTTGCCAATAGAATCCTTCAATACCACAAATTGAGGTTTGAAATTTTCTTCAGTTCTCTCAGTTTGAGAAATGCTGAGAGTGTTCTTCCCTTTTGGCTTTCTAACTCCAGGTCTTTGCACGTTTTGTTGTAATATTTGATTTTGTCTTCTCGAGCTGACCTTTGACATTTTCTGTTCAGCAGTTGTAACTCCTCATTTCTTCCTTTTGCTTCAGCATTTCTACAGTGGTGAGCAAGCTTCAGTGGCTTCTGACATCCATTTTGGTCTTAATCTTGTTTCTTGTCTTCTCAAATTATCTTTTGCTTTCTTCCTGTATAATTTTCTTGATGCCATACCACAACTCTTCTGGTCTTCAGTCTTTAGTGTCTAATGAATAAATTCTGGTCTTCAGATGATCTCTAAATTCAGTTGAGATATGTTCAAGGTCATATTTTGTTTTAATTTTCTTCATCTTCAGCCTAAACGTGCATACGAGCAATTGTTGGTCTGTTCTACAGTCTGCCTTTAGCCTTTTTTTTTTGGCTGATGACATGGAGCTTTTCCACTGTCTCTTTCTACAGATGCAGTCAGTTTGATTTCTGTGTATTACCTGATGAGGTCCCTGTGTATAGTCATCCTTTGTATTGTTTAAAAAAGGTATATGCAATGAAGAAGTAATTGGTCTTGCAAAATTCTATCATGTGATATCCAGCATCATTTCCATCACCAAGGCCATATTTTCCAATTGCTGATCTTCCTCTTAGTTTCCAAGCTTTGCATTCCATTAGCGAGTAATTATCAATAAATATTGATTGCATGTTTGATCAATTTCAGACTGAAGAAGTTGGTAGAGTACTTCAATTTCATAATCACTGGCTTTAGTCATTGGTGCATAATTTTGAATAATAGTGGTATTAAGTGGTCTTCCTTGTAGGCAGATGGATATTATCTTCAGCACTTTCAGTGCTTTATCCCACAGCGCCATACTAGGAATCTCTTGTTGGAGTATTAATGCTATCCGATCATAGACAGCATTGTACTTCAGGATTGTTGTTGTTAAGTGCCTTCGAGTCGGTTCCGACCCATAGCGACCCTGTACAGGGTTTCCGAGGGTGTAAATCTTTACGGGAGTAGAAAGCCTCATCTTTCTCCCGTGGAGCAGCTGGTAGTTTCGAACCACTGACCTTAAGGTTCGCAGCCCGATTCGTAACCACTACGCTACCAGAGCTCCTTGTATAGATCTTGAAATGTTCTTTTTTTTGATGAATGTGACTCCATTCTTCTTTAATTTGTTGTTCCTCACACAGTGGACCATGTGATTATCAAAATAGCTAATAACAGTCCATGTCAGCTCACTCATGCCTAGGATATAGATACCTTTTAGTTATATGTTTAACAACTTCCAATTTTCCAAGATTCATACTTTGTATATTCCATGTTTTAATTATCAGTGGATGTTGGCAGCTGTTTCTCCGTATTTTGAGCTGTGCCCCATCAGCAAAGGAAGGTCCCGAAGGTTTTGCTCCATTCATGCCATTACGGTCAACTCTATTTTTAGGAAAACCTCAGTCATACTTTTAGTACCTTCCAGCCTGAGGGGCTCATCTTCTGGTATGACAATGTTCTGTTGCTATTCATAATGTTTTCATCTTCTGGCACTATATTTGAATATTTTGCTGATAATCCTAAATTTTACAGTGACAAAACTTTAAAAAGTTATCTGCCTCTCCTTCTTCCTAGTCTGTCTTTATCTGGAAACACCCTGTACAACGTGGGTGATCCTGTTGTTATGTAAAATAGCAGTGGCATAGCTTCCAGCATCAAAACAATATGTACCCCACCAAAGTAGGACAAACTGACAGACCAATGGTTGGAACAGTATTTATAGAATTTTTCTAATAGGAAGCTATTGTGCTTTGTAACCTTTTACCAAAAACTCAAAAAAAAAAAAAATATATATATATATATTTAATGAGAATTTCAATTATCTTGGAATTACTAGCCATTTACTAGCTAGCTAGGTTATTTAATCTTTTATGTTTCTTGTTTCCCCAACTACAAGGTATAGAAATGAATCCTAGCAGATGAAATATGCAGACAGTCTGACCCTTAGCAACCATTTACTCTATTCAGGTCATTTCTACATTGGACTTCTTGCCCAGTTTACACTGGCTACAGCAGCCTTTAGAGTCTTGTGCAGTACTGTATGATTAGCACTGGACCTCAAGGTCATTTTGAATCACAGAATCAGCAGATCAAACTCACCAGCCACTCCTTGGGAACTCTATACACGATCGCTATGTATCTGAACTGACTCGGAGACACTTAACAACAATAGCACCTTTGGTCTCCAGTGGGAAATTCTTAAGATAGGGTTTTTCTAAGGCTGTTTTCTTTATGACAGCATACTGTCATATCTTTTTTCATCAAAGTGGCTCATGGGTTTGAACTGCCATCTATTTGGTTAGCAGCCAAGTGCTTTGACTATGGCTCCACTAGGGCTCCTTCATTAAGGGGAAGGAAACCCTATTTCTGGGGTTTTACTCTGTATCAATCAAACGACGTATTACATTAGGCAAATCTGCCTTTTTAAAGTGTTGAAGAGCAAAGATGTCAGCTTGAGGACTAAGGTGTGCCTGACCAAACCATGATAATTTCAATAACCTCATATGCATGCGGAAGCTGCACAGTGAGTAAGGAAGACGGTAGAAGAACTGATGATTTTGAGTTATTAAGTTGGAGAATATTGAAAGTTCCATGGTCTGCCAAAAGAACCAATAGATTTGTGTTGGAGGAAGTGCAGCCAGAGTGCTCCTTGGAGGCCAGGATGGCCAGACTTCGTTTCTCATACTTTGGACATATTGTCAGGAGGGAACAGTTGCTGGAGAAGGATATCATGTTTGGTAAGGTGGAGGGTCAGAGAAAAAGAGGAAGACATCCAACAAGATGGATTGGCCAAGTTGCAGCATCGATGGGCTCAAGCGTGGCAACAGTAGTGAGGTTGGCCCAGGATCAGGCAGGGTTTCGTTCTGCTGAGTGTAAGTTTGCTACGGGTTGGTACCAAATCGATGGCACCTAATAACAACAATCATCTATTTTGTCTACTTTTGTTGGTGTAATTTTCAAAATGTTTGGGCTCAAGTGTGGCAACAATTGTAAGGTTGTGGTGCATAAGGTTGCTATGAGTCGGTACTGACTCAATGGCACCTAACAACAATAACAACTCTGTGTCAAGGAGCCCTGCAGTTTGAATGTACCCGCTGTTCCATGAGAGAAAGATGAGGCTTTCTGTTCCCATAAAGGTTTACAACCTCAGATACTCTACACAAGGTCACTGTGAGTTGGGACCAATGCGATAGCACATAACCACCACCTCCACCACTCTGTATCAGAGAATACAGTGTCTTGCCCATAGCATCTTTCACAATCAACCTATGGCATAGGGTTATGACTGGTATGGATGGAATCACGTCTCCCAAAGAGATTGGTGAAGTTATAACAGTTAGCAATAGAAACGGCAGCCACTGTTATCACCGGGACTCCTGGTGTGGCGCTATAGGATCAGCACTGGACTGCGAACCACAAGGTCAGCCATTCAAACTCACCATCTGCTTCTTGGAAACCCTATGCAGGGTTTCTATGAGTCAGAATCAACTTGGTGACACTTAACAACAACATTGTTATCACTATTAAGAACCATCACACTTTTGGTTAACAACCCATCGCTTAAATATTATACCACCACTGAAAAGAAAAGTAAAATGTTTTCAAATACAATAGAAGTAAACATTTACGTGTGTAATTGAAAATGAAAGGTACCCACCAAATTGTAGTCTTTGATATCCCAATGATGTATATTATTTGCTTATTAACGTAGACTGTAATATCACTTCTTTATTATTATAGACGTTTCAGAATTTTGAAGCTAGAAGTGACTTTAAATAATTGTTGTTGTTGCTAAGTGCCGTTGAGTTGGATCCAACTCATAGCAACCCTATATAAGGTTTCTGAACAGTGGCTGGTGGGTCTGAACCACCAACCGTGTGATTAGCAATTCAGTGCTTAATCTATAGCACCACACAAGGATGTGTAAATTAATTGGTATCCTTCATTTTAAATATGAGGTTAAACCAGGAGAGGTTAAAGTGATTTGCTGACTCTAGTTAACACTCACCTAATTCCATTAATTTAAAAGTTATTCCCTTGTTCAGAAAATTTCACTATTACCAGTTGCTGTTTTGTTGACTCCAACTAAGGGTGGCCTCCATGTTTTTCCGTGGCTAGTTTTTTGGAAATACGTCACTAGAACTTTCTTACCAGGTGCCTCTGAGTGGTCTCAGGCCTCTCACCAATTACTTGGCAACTGAGCATGCTAATATTTGCACTACCCAGAGACTCCTAACTTAGATAAACCTTCCTCCCATTAACGAACCCTGACGCCACAGTGGTTAAGCATTGGGCTGCTAACCAAAGATTGGTGTTCAAACCCACCAGCCACTCCATAGGAGAAAACTGTGGCAGTGGGCTTTTGTAAAGATTTACAACTTTAGAAACTCCATGGAATCGTTCATTCTACTCTGTCATTAAAGAGTCACTATGAATCAGAACCGACTCTTTTTTCCATTTCACTGAATTTGTTTCCATTAATGGGCCTTTCTCTAGCAACATCAGCCGTCTACTAATGTAATATAATTAGAAGCAGAGCACACACATACCACACCAGTGTTTAGAAGCAAAGTTCCTGTTCAGATCTGTTCCGATGCATTGATTATTCCCATGAAGAGATCGGTTCTTTCTCCACATCCGATTCTGAATAAACAAAATACAAACAGATAGCCAAGATGGTCATATTTGTGATCCACAGAAACATAGTTGTTGTTGTTAAGTGTCATTGACTCATAGAAACCCTGTATAGGATTTCCAAGGAGCAGCTGGTAGGTTTGAACTGCTTATTTAGTTAGCAGTCTAGTGCTTACCCTACAGCACCACACCAGAACCTTTAAAAGATCAAGAAGGCTGGTTGGGTGGCTCTCTGTTCTGCAGTCCTCTCTCTTTCCTCATTCATTCCCTCACTCTTTTGTCACAGCCTCTATTTCTATCCAGGTCTGTCATTCTCACTCAGACTATCTTAGCTTAGTTGGTGTTGAGGCCTATGATCTGTAAACACAGTGGAGATGAAAGAAATTTGCCCACCTTTTTGTGTTCCTAAGAACCCTGGTGGCACAGTGGTTAAGTACTGGACTGTTAATAGAAAGACTGGTGGTTTGAACTCACCACCCCTCTGCAGGGGAAAGATGTGGCTGTCTGCTTCTCTAGAGATAATGACCTTGGAATCCCTATGAGGCAGTTCTGCTCTGTCTGTCAGGCATGAGATGAGTTGAAATTGACTTGACGGTTTAGGATGTCATGTGTAAGTGTTTCAGAAAATGACTGACTTTAATGGCCTTGATGTTCCCCTCAGCTTGCCTAGTAATTAGGTAGGGTTCTTCCTGACTAAAGGCTCTGACCTGTGTCTCATCCTGGCCTTACAGAGTCCAGATACTGTTCAAACTATCAACAACAGTAAACTCAGGACATAACCCTATGTAATTAACACAGATCATTGCCTAACCCCTCTCTAATGTCCTACAGAACTTTCCTCACAAGCTCACTTCAATCTTCAACATCCATCCTGCCCTCTGCTATAGCGCAATTGGAGCTCAGAATAAACTCTAGTCTCCCTCCCCTATTGTAGTAACCATGATGAAGTCTATTATTGAGTGTTTCACATTGCTGATAAAATTTTCTGTTATAGCTTTAACCAAGTTAAGTTGTATTAGTAGATCAATTTTGACGTATACAAGGGTAAGTTAAAAAATATATATACTGTTACTAGGGTTCTAGTCCATACATATATGAGTTTATTCTAAAGAAAACATGTTTAAACATGTCTCTGTGCCAGAAGATGAGTCCTTCAGGTTAGAAGGTACTCAAAATACAACTGGGGAAGAATTGCCTCCTCAAAGTAGAGTTGACCATGATGCCATGAATGAAGCAAAACTTTTGAAACTTTCATTTGCTGATGGGTCACAACTCAAAATGAGGAGAAAGAGCTGCAAATATCCATTAGTAACTGGAACATGGAAGATTCAAAGTATGAATCTAGGAAAATTGTATGTTGTCAAAAACGATAGATCAATATCCTAGGCAATGTTGTTGCTAAGTCCCAATAAGTTTATGGTTTCTGATGAACAACTAGTGGGTTTGAACACCAACTTTGTATTAGCAGTCCAGTGCTTATTCTACAGTGCCATACCAGGACTCCATCCTAGGCATTAGTAAGCTGAATGGACTGGCATTGGCCATTTTAAGTCTGACAATCACATGATTTACTATGGCAGGAATCACAAATTCAAGAGGATTAGCATCACTTTCATCATAAAAAGAACATTTAAAGATCGAACTTGAAGTTAATGCTGTCTGTGATAGGTTAATATCCATACACTTACAAGGAAGACCAGTTAATACGTAACTATTTTTCAAATTTATACACCATCTACTAAGGTCAGTGATGATGAACTTGAACAATTCTACCTTCTTCAATCTAAAATTAATCAAACATGCAATCAACATATATTGATAATTACTGGTGATTGGAATGTAAAGATTGGACACAAAGATAAAGATCAGTAGTGGTAAAATCTGGCATTGGTGATAGAAATAATGCTGAGATCACATGATAGAGTTTTGCAAGACCAATGACTTCTTCATTGAAAATACCTTTTTAAAACAACATAACTTCACCAAATGGAATACAGAGGAGTCAATTTGACTACATCTGTGGAAAGAATGGTGGAAAATCTCAATAAAATCAGTTAAAACAAGGCCAGGGGCAGACTGTGGAATAGACCATCAACTACTCACATGCAAGTTCTTGAAGCCGAAGAATATTTTTTTAAAGGCCACAAGAACCAAACTATGGCCTTGAACACATCCCACCTGAATTTATAGACAAATCTCTGAATACCACTAAGATAGAAGAACAAACACAGAAAAGGATAACAAATTCTGAAGATGGTCTAAGATTCATGTTGGACAACATGAAGAGGAATAACTTAAGAATTATCGGCAT